TCATCCAATACCATATTCTCTATCTCCAGCTGCTAATTGTATTTACAGTTGACTCATCGATTTCAGTTCCAAATTAAGTGTACCCACATTCACCATTTGCTGACTCCCTGGTCAGCTTCCTCTCATGCTTTTCTTCCCCACCGCAGTGCCTTCTCCAGGCCACTCAGGCCTAAAATCTTGCTGTAATCTGTGACTCATTCATTACATGTTCATCTGCTAGAGTGAATTGGTCACCAAGAAAGTTGTTACTTACTTTGATCTTGCATGAAATATTTCCTTAAAATTAGTCTCTTGATTTAAAAATTAACTTTCTTTTTAGAATGACTTTCGATCTATAGAAAATGACAAAATAGTTCAGAATATTCCCTTATTTCCTACCCCATCCCCTTGCCATCAGCATCTTGAACATCACAGTTAATTTAGCATGAGTGACTAATGAATCAATATCAATATATCTGTTACCAGGTGAAATTCAGACTCTAGGTTCATATGTTTTGAATTTTGTCGAGTTATCATGTTACAGTGAAATATTATAGTTTTATGTTGCTTTAGCTCCATTTAGAGTATAAGTTGGTCTTTCTTACGTCAGAAGGAGGGTTCCATCACCCTGACACAATGTCTGGTTTTTGACACATTTTCTCAGTTCCTCAATGTGGTCCACATAGATATCAGCTTTATATAACTTCTGCTCTTTGTGGGAAAGCTAGATATAGCCTGTTTAAATGGCCCTCTTGCCCCTCAGACTCTGCATGGGCACTAGAGATATGCCATAGTAACTACTGCTCAGTCATGTGGGTCCTCTTGGAACTTGTGTCTGCCTGCTTTAAACCTATCAGTTAACATTCTCCACAGGAAACAGGGGCGGAGGGATCTCTGCAAACACAGTAGGATTTACATGGGTGTATAAACCTTCTTTTTACTCTTAAAATTTGCTGTTTAAGTACTTAATGGTGATGCTTCACAATGGCTTGACCCTGTGGATTATAAGGGATTTCAGTCACATGATTAATATTCTATAAATTGCAAAATTCCTTAAATTGTTTGCTAGTATAAGCAGGACCATTATTAGTTTCCGTTGTAATTGGAGTCCTAGAAAGGAAATGCATAACAGATATTTGACAAAGCCAGGTTCCAGATATGACACAATGGTATTTTCCTGGAGCTCTTAGGGCCCCATGCCATGCCCAGGGCTGTGCTCTGTGGCAGTCTAGTTAGGTAGAGACACTATGTGGTGCACTCTGAGCACACCTGACAGCAGAGAACGACCCAGGCACAGACAGCACTAGCCCAGATATCAAGCTGATGTAAAAACCACCCATTAGTAATTATGCACCAGGAGCTTGGAATACTGTGTAAAATGTGCTCTCGGTCGAGGATATGCTCTCCTGAACCTCCTCTAACTTCCTCCCTTGCCACAGTCTGATCATTTATATCAGATCAAAGGCAAGCACAAATCCAAAATGCAACAAAAACCTATTTAATTAACAATGGTCATTAACTTCTAAAGATTTAAACCTAATGTTATTTGCATAAGATCTGGATCTTTAAATTTTGAGGCAGTTGAAATTCTGAGCTCAAGATGACTCTTCTACTAGGTAATAGAACACTCAGAAGTCCCCGAGAAATGAACACAGAAAACCCTGAAGGAGAAAACAATTGTATTTTCCCGTGCGAGCATGAAAGTACATATCTAGCTGATACTCTAAATGAAAGGAAAATGTCAACAGTATCAAAGCATAACAGTTCCATGTAGACAGAACTCGCTGGAAGGATCTAGTTCTTACTACATTTCACAGACAGTTTGATATAACAGATTCTCAGACTGCACCAAAAGTAATTTTAGGTGAAAATTTCAAAATAATCTAACTCCTACTAATTGTACTCTGGGTTAGCCCCTTTCAGCCTCCAAGGAAATTTGAGAAATGTGCAATTACGCTTGCATTCCTTGGCCACTGTATTTATAATCCAGAAGAAATATCCTAAAAAAACTTTCTTGATTCCAATTTACCCCAGTTTTTCTTCTTATACATCTCCCAAGCCTGCTCACATTATTAAAATACAAATTTGTACAAAAATACAAATTTAAAAACTGAAGTTTTAATAATAATAAATACAAAGGAACCTTGGTAGATTGTGCCCTCAGTGCCTGAGAGGCTGGAAATGAGGAAGTCTCCACTTCTGAGGTAAAAGACAAGATAAAATTCCTTATTTTGCATGTGTTTGGCCGTGATAATTTGATGGATGGTAACTTGAGCATGCACCAGCAGTGGAAACATCTATAGTTTCAGTAACAGACAACTCACTTCACCAACCCTTTGGAACAGCCTCCTACCAGCAACAGCCAGGGCTGCCCCAGGCTTCTCTTCTAGGCAGGCTCTCCCTGCTTATGCTCTAGAGACAGAGATGCCAGCAGCTCAGTGTTACTGCCGTGTTTCAATAGGATTGCTTTTATTGTTCTATTCACTCTTTATTTTCAAGGCAAGGAAACTCAGTTGAAAGAGTGTGCTAAACCTTTCTTCTGTTTCTGTGTCCAAGCTCATGTCCCATTCATTCCCACTTTGCACTTACTAGACTCCATCCTCAAGGACATCATCCCAAATATTTCCAGACTTCTAGTATACCCTCTCCACATTCACAATCCTTCTGCAACTTGCCTTTTTACTCAAGTTAGGCCAGTTCCCATTTTCAGTCCACCTCTATCCTTCATTGGCTAATTTATATGTGATATCAGTTTCTGTTGAGCCTCAGTCACTCTTTTCAGGGTACCCATTTTGGGTGGGGATGTGCAAACTGGAGCTCCAAAGCTACCCATTGTGACTGGAAGACTCTGATCCCTCCTCTGTGTACCCAATAAACTGCCACGTGAATTAAAACAAATGGCACAGACCCATCCCTGCCTCTCAGCCTTTTCAGTTTTCCTGGGGTCAGGGGTCTTGACCACTCTGGCTATCCTCAGTCTCTTCAACTTGTCTGCCAAGTACATCTTCAGGTGGCCAACAGTGGGATGTAAAAAAATAGAAAAAAAGCAGTCTTTCAAGTCAAGTATAACAATAAATATCCTTGAGGAATCATAGTAGCAGCAGGGAAATCTGGCTGGAGGGTCTCCCCCCCCCCCCCCCCCCGTTTCCATAGTAGCATTTATGTCCCAAAGATCATGTAATAGTAGAATGTTTTTCCCTCTTATGAATACAAAAACAGGGAAGTTCCAAAGGCCAACTGAAGTTCTATATATCCTGGTTGTAATTGTTCCTATACTAGGGTTTGGGCCTATTTTAATTTTTCCCAACGAAGGGGCCATTGATAATCAATACTGGCTCATTTCCGCAGTGAGGGAGAACAGAAAGCTAGGTGCGCTGGGGCAGCCCAGCCCTGTGGCTCATGTAGTTGTGGAGCCCTGCCTGCCCCTCGAAATTCAGGCAATGAGCATCGGATTCTTCTCAGTGTTCCGTGGACCCAGAGGTCAGAAAGGGCCAAGAGGCCAGAGAACTCTGAGCTCTGCTCAAACGGGCAAGCTTTAAACATACCTGGCTCAGTGACCACCAGGGAGCAAGAGAGGCTTCGGAGTTCACTTGGCCGGCTTTGCCAAGACTTGCCTGCATGTATCCAGAAGGGGTGTGTGTGTGTGTGTGTGTGTGTGTGTGTGTGTGTGTGTATGTATGTTATTATCCTCCTGAGGGGGTCCAAGCAATATGTAACCGTAGTCTAGAATGCAAAATAATTTACAGAGATTTTAGTATGGGCTCTTTTTACATTAGCTCCTATGTGTTTTCAATTTTCAACATCAATGGTTCCTTGTTTAGGATCCAAACCATTTAGGATTAAATTTTACAGTCACTTGTACAAAGTTGCAGAGCTGTTGCTTTGAATGTTTTGCTTCTCTGGATCTTAACAAAAAGCTCAATAATTGTATAAAATGTTTTGCCTCAGAGGACTGAGAGAAACCCATGTTATTTTACTCTGTCACTTACGGTTGCAACCCCTTGGGTGAGAGGACTGAATTCCTACCCTCTGCTTCTATTTAAAAAAAAATTTTTTGAATCTTTTCTGAGGGTCAAGCCCCACACATTGGGTGCCAGTTTTAGGGGTGTCTACAACCAGCAGAATAATGATCTGCCAGAGGCAAGAAGGTAGTTGGGGTCAACATGACTCAGTAGCCAGTGTTGGTTTAAACTTAGGGAGTCTGTCCCTGAGTAGTTTATTTTAGGCATGTTTAATTAAGCACAGCACAATTTGGTGAAAACTTTCCTGGTGATAACGAATGCAATCCATGTGCACAGTAAAGCTTTGAGACATGATTACATTGAAATTCTTTCATTCTTCATCCCCACTTATTTCTTAAAACCCCAACAGGCCACTTGTTAGTTAGGTTAGCTTCACTGCCTGTTTTAGACCTTTATCTCTTATTTAGGTGATTTCCCCTCCACTTTCTGGGCCTGAACATTTTAACTAGTCACTTTACAAATGAGCTGTAGTCCTATGCCCTGCCTGTTAATACTAGATTTTGTTTTTTCCAGATATTGTCTACCTTAATGCTTCCTATGTATCCAATCCTATTCAGCCTTGAAAATTCATTTATTATATCTATAACTAATATATGCTAGGTAATATGAATATTTCCCTTCCTTAAATCTTCTAGTTTTTTAAAATGAGAGTCCATAATACCTTATATTTAAAATCTTTAATAATCCAAGTAAGGAGGGTTCATTGGAAATCACTGAACACCTTTTTAAATTTTAATTACAATTTTTAAATGTTTTTTAGTGCTAGTGTAAAATTCACTGTCTTGTTTCTTTACATCTTTAAATCCACAGCTGTCAAACAAAAGTCTAATTACTCTTTTCCCACTTGTTTTTTCTATTCAGTCAAAGTAGGAAATTTATCTTTCTTTTAAGATATATTTAATGTTTAAAATAAAGGAAAACAGTAATTTTTTAAAGATTTATGTTGGTTTTTGTTTTGTTTTATTTTTTGCTTTGTTTTTATTCTTTTCGCTTTTTTGAGGAGGGGGGGGGCGCCACTCAGCTCCCAAATAAATCACACAAAGAGGCTTATTCTTACTTATAAATGCCCGGCCTTAACTTGGCTTGTTGCTAGCCAGGTTTTCCTTCTTTTTTTATCTAAGTTTTTTTTTTTTAATTCATTTTACATACCAACCGCAGATCCCCATCTTATCCCACCTCTGGCTCCCCATCAGTCTTCCCCCTATCACCCAGCTTTTCTTAACTTAAATTATCCCACTTATCTTTTGCCTCTGGGCTTTTACCTTTCTCTACTTCTCTGTGACTTGCTGTGTAGCTGGGTGGCTAACCCCTGGTATCCTCCTCCTGTTCTTACTTCTCCTTCTTTTCCCCAGATTTCACCTCCCATTTATTCTCTCTGACTGCCAGCCCCACCTATCCTTTCTCCTGCCTTGCTATTGGCCATTCAGCTCACTATTAGACAGATCAGGTATTTTAGACAGGCAAAGTAACACAGCTTCACAGAGTTAAACAAATGAACCATAAAAGAATGCAACAAATCTTTGCATCATCAAGACAAATATTCCACAGCATAAACAAATGTAACACATCTTAAAATAATATTTCACAACAGATTTATTTTATTTTATTTATTTTTGTGTGTGTATGTGTCTATGTGTATATGTATATTCACTTAGAGGCCAGAAGAGGGTTACAAGTGATTGTGAGCCATTTGACATGGATGCTCAGAACTGAATCTAGTCCTCTGTAAGAGCAGCAATCACTTTTAACCACTAAGTCATCTCTCCTCCTTCAAGGTTAGTAATATTTTTAAATATTAGCATACAAAGGAGTTATCTGGAAGACTGACAAAAGGCAAATTCCCATATATCCCCAAATCTTGATTTGTCATGTATTTTTGTTGATATAATTACCATAAACTTAGTGGCTTAAATAACAAAAATGTGTGACCTTCCTTTTTTTGTAAACTAGCATTTAAAAATGGCTTTTTGTGTGTGTGTGGGGGGTTAAGTTGGTTCCCTTTCTGGAGCCTTACATGATACTTTATCTTTTTACCCATAGCAGCTCCTGGAAGGCACACCCAGTCTGCTCGTGACTGCTTTCCTCCATCTTCCCAGCTGGCCACACTGAATTCTGGGACTTTCTTCTATAGTCACATTTTTTTCCTTTGGCAGCTGATTCTGCTTTTACAGAGCATGTGGGTACCTGGATACTTTCCATATTTTAAGATCAGCTGACTGGCAACCTTAATTCCATCTGTGACCTTTTCATTTGTCAACCAAAATAGACAACAGATTTGGGGATTTTGACATGTTGTCTTTAAGGAGTCGTTTATTCTGCCTCCTAGAAACTTGGGATGATGGGGTATAGACGATTTCTTTATTAACAGCCATTCCAGCTGATTCTAGTGAAAGCAGCCAGACCAGAACAGTGAGAAAGCCTCCTCTAGAGACTTACTCATAGTGGCCCTATGTACTCACTTTTGGATCCAAGCACAGAAGATTTGGTTTCCACACCACATTTGATGTGAGGAGACCATTGAATTAAGACTTCGGTAAGATGACAGAAAGAGCTGCTGACACAGAAGTGTTGGCCCTGGCAGAGTTCATCGTTGTCAGAGGGGCTTCATTTTAGCTTGTTTTACATGATAGCTTGAAAGTCAAATTTGAGAATCATTTAAAAGCCTGAACGCAGAATATCAAGAAAGACAATGTAGAATGTAATTCATGAAATTAGAGCTGGAGAGATGGTTTGTAAAATTATTTGTCATGAAAGCCCGTGAAACCCTGAGGACTTGAATCCAATCATCAGAACCCACCTTGAACAAAGAGAACAGACTCCTGAAAGTTGTCTTCTCATCTACACATATGCCATGGCATGCATGTGTACATGTGTGCACACATACACTCCATATATAATATATATGCATATATATACTAATAATAAATAATTTTCAAATTTAAGTCATAATATATGAAATTAAATCCTCATTTGGTTTTAATACTATATTTGGCTAGTATTTCCTTATTATTTTCTTGGTTATATTAACATTTGTATTTGTATTTATATTTATTTATGGAATATTCACATTGCGTATGGGAATATGTCTTTTATCTACCCAAACCAGAAGCTGTGCAATAATTATGTTAGGAATCACATTTAACCTCCTATCTATATTAACAAAAAGATTAAGTGTGCTGGGACTTGTATTACATGATAAAGACAAATTCAACTGTTTAAGTACATAATTCATTCTTGCTTAATGTATTTTGAAGTATAACCTGCTTTCTAAAAATGTGTACTTATCAATTTTGTGTGTACCATGGTACCTGTGTGAAAGACAGAGACAATACTGGGGAGTTGGCTTTCTGTACCACACGGATCCTGGAGTTCAAACTCAGGTTGTCAGGGGGCATCTTTACTGCCTGAGCCATCTCACCAGCCCCCAGACATCATCTACATGTTCATAGCTTGGGTACTGATTTATTGCTGACAGTTTATATTATATGAGAGGTCAATAAATATTTATTAAAATTCTCTTTGAAGAAATGGTCATAAAATTTAGTAACAGATGGATGTTGTATTAGCCAGGGTTCTCTAGAGGAATATAACTGTTGTGGAATAATCTTTTTGTATGCTCTGAAGATGTGTCACTCAGATTGGTTTATTTAAAAGCCGAATGGCCAATAGTTAGGCAGGATTTCCAGGCCCAGGGGATGTAGCACGAATCTTAAAAGGTCTTGTTAATAAAAACAAACCCAGAGCCAGGTATTGGGGTGAATGCTGAAAGATCAGAGAGACAGAACAAGCCATAGCCAACCTCACCTCGCCAACTTCTAAACTGATCTTGTTTCCTCAAACTGGAAGCCTCTGAGTCCTCATCCAAATGGATCTCAGCTGAACTGTTGCTGAAAGCCTCAAAGCTTAAAAGCCTAAAAGCCTCTAGTTCCTGGTCCTCACGCCTTACATATCTTTCTTCTTCCTGCCATCACTTCCTAGAATTAAAGGCGTGTGTCTTTCCCAAACAAGACATGAGATCTCAAGTCCTGGGATTAAAGGTGTGTGTCACCATACCTGACTGTTTCCAGTGTGGCCTTGAACTCACAGAGATCCACATAGTTGAAAGTTTTTCTGTGTCCCAGCCTGACCGCAGTCGGGACAAATCTCTCCCACTCCCATCCCTCAAGTAAACACACAGAGGCTTATATTAATTATAACTGCATGGCTATGGCTCAAGCCTTTTGCTTGCTAGCTCTTATATCTTAAATTAGTCCATAACTATTAATCTATGTACCACCTCATGTTCTGTGGCTTTACCTGTGTCCCATTACATGTTGCTCCTTGGGCAGCTCGCTGGCATCTCCTCAGCCTTCTTCCTGTCTCTCTCTTTGAATTTCCTGCCTGCTTCTAAGCTACCCTGCCATAGGCCAACTGCCTTTATTTATCAACCAATTAGAGCAACACATATTCACAGCATACAGAAAGCTACCCACAGCAGATCCGAATGGATCTCTGCTTCCAGCATGCTAGGATTAAAGGTGTGTGCTATCACTACCTAACCTCTATGTTTAATATAGTGGCTGTTCTGTTCTGTGACCCCCAGATAAGTTTATTAGGGTGCATAATATATCAACCACAAGAGGACACCGGGAAGATGGGAGGAGACATGGTGGAAGCAGGAAAGCAAGATGGACAGTATGTAGATGAGGTAAATGAGCCTCGGAGCAGCACATAGCTGAGTAGGAGTGGGTTAATTTAAGTTATGCAAGCTAGCTAAAAACATGTCTAAGCTATCAGCTGAGCTTTCATAATTAATAATAAGTCTCCGTGTCATGATTTGTAAGTTGGCTGGTGGGACAGAGAAAGATTCGCTACATACAACCTAGAGAGGGGATATATATTACAAGGAGGATTTTTAGATTGGCTTACAGGATATGGGTTGGGCTGTACAAAATGACTGTCTGCACACTGGAAAGCTGAGAATCTGTGAGCTGTTCAGACCCTAACGTCAAATTCCTTAGCACACCCAACTGACATTGAGGGTCCAGAGGATTCTGGAGAGCCAAAAAAAAAGCATGTTCTGATGTCAGGAGAGGGTAGCAACAGCTGTAGTAGGCAGATTAGATGTACTCATGGGCCAACAGGGGAAAATCAGCAGTATTTATTTTCCCACAGACTTCTCTATATCTGTGCCACAGCCTGAAGATGCCACCTACTCTGTGGGAAGACTCCTGCTCCTTCAATTAACTTTTCCAGATTTGTGCTTTTTAGTTGATCCCAGATCTAATCAAGTTGACAAATAATACCAACAACCACAGATGTGAATACTTAGCAGAATGTTTCTGAAGAACTAGTTGCATCAGTTTAGTTCCAAAAAGAAGGTGGTTAACCATATTTTTATTATTAACTTTGTAAAGTATTTTTTAGAGCTGAAGCATGGAAAAATCTATTTACTGTATTACTTTTGAAAGATTGGAGAAGAAAGAAAAGTTAGGCAATCATGAAATCTTAATGAACAAAATAATTAAGGCAATATTTTGTCTGGCCCAACTCATCTAAAATATTAATTCAACTTAATTCTCATTACAATCCAGAAGTAAAGAATAATTATCTTTCACTTTTGAGAGAGGAAACATGCTATATTGTATGATTTTTCTTCTAGCTATTAAGTAAAGTTAATTAGCTATTCAAACTTGAGTCTCTGAGTCCAAGGTAAATGCTCTTTATTGCATAAGCAGGCTTCAATATGTTTTATTTAGTATGATACTTGCTTTTAGTGGAGGTAGGGTGAGGAGACAAAGTTTTACCTTATTTATAACTCACTAATCCAGTATGATACTTGCTTTTAGTGGAGGTAGAGTGAGGAGACAAAGTTTTACCTTATTTATAACTCACTAATCCATAATTGTAGAAGGCATGCACAGGCAAGCCAAGCTTGTCAGTATTTACCTTGGAGTTAGGAGGTGATATGTTTTATGGCTGACTCTATTATATGTTCAAGCAAGAGCCATTCTATGGAATTTAGTAATTGTTCCAGAGTTCTTACTTAAGTGTGTCTGAGTACATTTGGGCCCTTTGTAAAGTCTGAAAATTTATTTTTCACATCTTGAAAGTTATGATGTCACCAATAAAGGTGCTGTCATATGGTGAGGATTACCTTGCTGTGTCCTCAAATGGGAGAAAGGGGAAGGACAGAAAGACAAACTCTTTCCAACAAGTCCATTGTAATGGTGTTGATCTTTTCACTGGGATACATTTCTCATTACCAAAACACCTCCCCTAAGGCATTACTTTATGAAACAGCTGGGTTGGAGGTTAGGTTCCCCACATGTGAACTTAGAGACACCATTCAGACCACAACATTGCATAACTTCATATAGTTCAGTATCCTTCAGGGCATTGAATAAAAGTGTCCCTAATACAAGTGATGTTCCCTGAGTCAGGACTCTGTACTGCTATAAGAAGACACCAATCAATTAAGATATAACTCCATTTCCAACTAAATACACAGACAACCACAAGCAAAACAGGTAGCTATGTTTGCTATATCTTGCTAAGGTTATAATTAAGAAAGTTTTAAGTTGGCATTAAGTCATCCAAATCAAGTAATCCCGTTTTGGACCTGAAATTCAGTCAATAGTATCATAAGGAATTTTTCCTGGTTGTTTTAGAGTTATCTGGGAAGAGGGATTTCAGTTGAGAAAATGCCTCCATCAGTTTGCCTGTAGGCAAGTCCCTAGGTCATTTTCTTGATTAATGACTGATGTGGGAGAGCCCAGGTCACTGTGGACAGTGCCACTCATGGCCAGTTGGTACTAGATTATATAAGAAAAGAGAATGGCCAGGCCATATTGAACAGACCTGAGGAGTAAGCCAGGAAGCAGTACTTGTCCATGGTCTCTGCTTTAGTTCATGCTTTCAAGTTCCTGCTTGAGTTCCGGCCCTAACTCTCCTCAGTGATGGAATGCGATCTGAGAGTTGCTCAATGGAAAAAAAATCAAGTTAATTTAAAGAGGGAAATTACACTGGTGGTGCCAAGATGAGCCCCTGAAGTGAAGACAAACAGAAACTGCTGAAGAGAGACAAACACTGGCAGAGAACAAAAGGAAGGAAGCTGATCTAGTTGTTTGGAGGAGATTCTGCAACTCACCTGTCAGGTGACTTTCCTTACATTACTTAACATTTCTTGGTCTCAGTTTCAGCTTCTAATTTGGGCAGATACTTTCTAATTCTCTTTTTAGCAACGAAATAAGGAGTATAGTTAATAGGTTGCGCTGAGGGTGAGATTAAGATAAATTTGTTGGCTAGAAATAGATTTTCATGCCAGTTAGGATTTCTTTCCTGGAGTCTCTCCATGGGTGGAGAGAGGAGGTCAAGCTCATTAATGGTGCTTTCCATTTCAATTTCTGTTACTCTTCCACTTCTTTGTGCTTTCTTATAAGTGACCACTTTCCACTTAATGCACTATACTATGGAATAAGCCCATGGACACCACAGCCAGGCCAAACTAGCCTTCTTATAGTGGGTTCAACTCCTGTCTTTCTTACTCTTGTTTCTAATCGTAATTTGCCTGTATATTACCACCACTCAGATTTCTCCTTGAAAGCTGCTACTGTGGAATGCCACCTGGAGTGACATCATCAATGAAAGTTTCTGCCATTTAACAGCCCTAGGAGGCATTCACCACTGGACTAGTGAATGTATTTTTGTTGTGCAGACCAAGGCAAGGCTCTATCATGGCAGAATATTGCGGCAGGTTGTCTGAGAAACTTAACGGGCTCCTTGCAAGCCAAGGAGAAAACTGATAAAATTAAAAATATTGTCTTTTATGCAGTAGAAAGATCATAGTGGATGATATACCCTGTCTTGTTTTAGACAATACCTTTTTTTTTTAAATGAAGGCAGGAAATATTTTTTGAGAATTGCTATATTCCCATGATTTTGGAATTTAGAGTTACATGACTATAACTTGGAGTTTTCTAGACAGCTCAAGCTCTTAGATGTGCACTGAAGGCTCCATTGAAGTATATTGTCAAGGTTCCATTCGCTGATGTTTATTAGAAAGTGAGGATGAGAATATCATTCTCTTCTTGCCTCAGTTTCGGTCTAGACTTTACAGTGCTGGTATTACTTTTACTCTCACAGTAATATATTTTTAAGTAAAGGAAACATCTCTGTTCCAGTCTTAATCCAAACAGAGTCCCATCACAGATGTGCATTAGCGTTCAGATACCGCATGGACAAATACTTGCAAGGGACACTTGCTGCATATGGCATTCAGTCAAACTGCACCTCTGCAGGTCTCTCTAAGACAATCTCACAAGCAAGTCCTTGTTCTTTTTTCTTCCCTGCTGTTCATCAAAGGTTCATTTGTGCTGAGAAGATGCACAAATGCCACCTGTCTTGGCCCAAGATCAATGTCACTTTTCCTAAAGTACATTTCTGCCTGGCTGACTATGTATATGTGATATTATTTCAACTACATTAGGCAGTTGATATTTTTTTCTTGTTGGCTAGATTCCCAGTAGATCCTGATACTGAAAATCAGGTTGGGTTAGTACAGTCCACATGTGCCAAGTTTGGGATCTCTGGTTGGAGGAAATGATTTAAATCAATCTCACCCACTTTCAAACACCTCCGTTAAGCACTGCTTACAAAATAAGGCATATGGATTATGAAAGGACAGCCTTAAATGCCTACCATAACAAAATCTATGGCCAATTTTCAATTTTTCCTTTAAATGCCCTTTTGCCTAGAGCAATTTATAAGTTTCTCCCACCATTTAATTATCTAAATCTAGGAGCAAAGTTAAAATAGAAAGTCAAGGGAATATCTGTACTGCATCTATAGTATCCTAAAATACTGGAAAAATGAAGTTATTTTCATTGCTACAGTGAGTGGAATTATAAATGTATAGCACATACTTTATACTTAGAACTCCAGGCTTGATTTAGCGGGAGTGGTGAGCTGAATATGGACAAGTGTGCTTGGGGACAAATGACACAGCAATTCACAACTGCACATTTTGTTTATCATCCTTCTGTACTGGGCAGGGTACTCCACACCCTGTTGGCTCAGTCCTCACATCAGTAAAATGTGAAAACGTCCTCTCCTAGAGGCATTCTGTGAAGATGGAAAATCACCTCACATACCTGGTAATGTCAGGGATTTTGAAAAATTACAGTTAAAAGTTTTAAAGTAAGAATAATCTTGAGTTTGACCCAGACCATTTTTGGATATATTATCATTTGCTGTTGATAGCATAATTGTCATTGTTGACATCAAAGTCAGTTTCTTGCCTTAGCTCTGCGACTGAATACTTTTTTTCCTGCTCTTGTAATAGTGTTAGAGCCACAAAGCCTCCTTTCCAATTATATGATATGAAAGCTGAGTAGTCAGCAATGGGTTAATAAAGAGCATATTATTTATGCATTTGTAAAATGAATCAAATGCACAGATAGGCCTTTGGTACCCACTCGTTGGCACTGGTACATGATTCATTCTAAGGTTCATAATGTAATTTCATTTCTGTGCAAACAAATAGATGATTCTAATGATATATCAGGTTTATAATTGTTGAACTTAAGTACTGTGTATAGTTTGTAAAAACAGAAGACTTTTTTCTTATGACTTAGAATCCTTAATATTTTCTAACAGTCCATGGAATATTTGATATGGTCTGATAGCAAGACCTGGCAATTACAGTCCTAAGAGTTTATGATACAGATAAGGAAAACTGCAACACTGATCCTCTTCATTGTGTTGTTGTGCAGGAAAATTTATGAAAGTCAGGGGATCTGGTTTATTAATTGCTGTATTCCCAGAGCTTCCAACATCTAATGAATACTCAATGACTAAGTGGGCTTAAATTTATTATGGTATTAAAAGCAATTCTTTTACATCTCTGTTTTCTTTTTTAAAGTTATACCAACACAATGCAAATTTAGTACCACTGAGAGCATCATTAATCAAACATACCTTCATGATGGAAACATAAGGATTTTCTTAAGGTATGCTTTTATCACCAGAAAAAAATTATAATAGCATCATTATTCTTTAAAATTAAAATAAAATAGAAATAATTTTAGAGTATTTAATTTAAATTTGACATAAGTTATATTCCTCTTACTCACCAGTTAGTATATTTATTATATATGTATGTATAAAGAATATGTGCATATATATACATATGTAGCAATCTTATATGTAATATTTAATAAATTGATAATGCGAAGATACTCTCTGTTCTAGTTACTTTTATGTGTTGCTGTGATAAAAACACCATGACTAAAAGTCCCTTGGGGGAAGAAAGGGTTAATAATGGTTACACTTCCACATCACATCCATAATTGAGGGAAGTCAGGGCCGGGACTCAAAGCAGAAACCTAGAGTCAAGAACTAAAGTAGAAAACGTGAAAGAATGTTGCTTACTGGCTTGCTTAGCTTGCTTTCTTATACAATCAAGGGTCACTTGATTAGGAGAGGCACTGCCCACAGTGGGCTGGACTTCCTGCCTCAATCAGTAATCAAGAAAATACTCCGCAGACCAATATTATCAACTTAACTCCTCGGTTGAGGTTCCTTCTTCCAAGGTGACTAGTTTGTCTCAAATTGGCAAAAACTAACCAGAACACTCTCCAATAAGTGTCTGCTTGGGAGGATCTATCACTATGCTTGGCATGTGGTAGAAGTTCAGTGATTATCTATCAAGTACATCTAATTTAACGAAATATTCTCCTCTGCATATCTTTCTGTCATTTCTGTTTGTAATGTACATTGAATTTTAAGTGTATTCTGGAAGTACAAAGCAAGTAAATAATTTTATATATAAAATTGAAGAACAGCATTTTAACACACTAAACATATTATATTCCCCTAAATTATTTAAATTACTAGAGTTGTAGACTCTAGGGTCTAGAATACAGGTATATAGGTTTGCTTTTGAGGATAAAGTATACTTTCCACATCTCAAAAGCATTTATAATTTATTCATTCCAGTCCAGTACATAAGGGCAGGATTTTTTTTTAATATTTATTTATTATGTTGTTTATTTATTATGTTTACAGTGTTCTGCTTGCATGTATTCCTGCAAGCCAGAAGAGGGCACCAGATCTCATTACAGATGGTTGTGAGCCGCCATGTGGTTGCTTGGAATTGAACTCAGGACCTCTGGAAGAACAGTCAGTGCTCTTAACCTCTGAGACATCTCTCCAGCCCAAGGGCAGGATTTTTAATGGTTCAGAACTCATCTTGTCTTTAACCATATTTTGTCCTTGTGTCCGTAAGTATTTCTGACCATTCTGTCATCTGAACGTTAGGGATCAGGTCCCTTTCACCTGACATGCTTTTGCTGCTGTAATGGCCATGACATTCTAGAACCCTTGAAGTCTTTGGTACAAGTCAAGGCATCGAAGCTGCTGTACCAAGTTCAAATGAGGCAACTGGCAGCATTAATCAGTAAGTTGTTAGAATTATTATCGTGCCTATGATACTCTAAATCTTATGCAATTTAGATGTAGGTCAAGCTATACTTGTGAGAAGTACAGTAATGTTAGGTTTAGAAATTATTCCCTAAATGTGGCAAAGCACAGAGTATCAGATGTTGAAACAAGACAGGGGCATAGCTTCCTAAAACATATGAAAATAATTAAATGTTATGAAAAAGTATAATAATAATGTAACTCATTTCTCTTTACCTATTTATTCTCTTCTTTTTGTGTTAAAAATAGCTGATATTTTTGAAGATAGAGACTGATATAGGACTAAATTTACATTAAAAATGGTGGGGTTGTTTTAATCTATAAAACAACCAGAGCTTAGATTTCTTGGTAATCTATAGTAATTAACACCTTCAGGAAGGAATTAAGTTCCTTAAACTGTGAAATGAATTTCATCTGCTAACTCATCACTATTGTGAGTGAAAAAAAAATCTCGATTTGACAAAAATTAATATAACAGTTTCCAACTTTTAACCACAGATATGCACATAAACAAGTACTTGTAAACTTGCTATCTGAACACGGAACAAAACTTTTATTTTATCAGAGCAGCAAATTTTAAGTGTTAAGGCCGGGAAAAGGGGTTGTTTAAAATGAGGAGGTCTTCAGTGAGAGCTGAAGTTCCCGAGGTAGCCTACTATCTAGGTAAGACTGACAGTTGTGCACACATACCTTTAGTAAAGCCCACAATGCTGGCTTTAGAGGGAAGCCCCGGGAAGTTTCCTTGACTCAGCATGATGTAGCCTAGAAGCTAGAATTCCCCACTGTTTCAAAGAGCCTGCCTCACAGTCTGCCTATGTCCTCACATTTCCCACCATGTTGACGCAGTGAAGTACTGTCACAAAGAATCCAAATTCATTTCCTTTCACATTCTTTCTTCATGGTTGTCTTTTAGTCACGTGGGTATTTCTGGGTTGGAAGGTCTCAGCGATGCAGAGAACATTAAGTATCAAGAATATAGCCTGCAGTAGATCCTGTGCATTGTTATAGATTTTGTTATAGATTTTCTCAGTGTCTGTGTCATTCCCTTTGGTCGGTGACCAGAAAATACCGATGAAGTGTGACTACAACTTCATTTATCGATATTGTATCCCCCGTAAGCATTAAGAAGGCATGTGTGAAGACTCCAGGAGAAACATAGGCCTTAGATCGAGGCATGCTTTGTACATTTGTGGTTGGATTCTGAGCCAAATACTTCCTCACAGAGACATTTCTACAGAAAGTTTGTTCCGTTGTGTGCACTGGAACCAAAGACAGTGTCAATCTCTGTTTATATTTTAGACACACATCATCACCACTCTCCCATCTCTATCAAATTTTCAGTCTCAATATGCTTTGCATAGCATTTATTATATTGTTTTATTTTCAATTTTGTAATGCATAAAGAACAGACTCTAACTATAGATTTCCTCAGAGCATCATAACCAACCAAATTGGTTATAGTAACAGGACTTTCATGAAATGCTTAATCAGATATGCAAGGTTTTAGTCAATATATCATCTATAAATCTTTGAGTTTCATGTGAAAGTGGCACAGCCATAGACAGACCTCAAAAATACCGCAACTATAAATATTGCTAGAGGATGTGTAGAATTACAAATGACTTACAACACTATCATGCTATGACAAAAAGGAAGCTTATACATGTTTCAAATACTAATGCCAGGCACCCTGTCCTTGTAGTGTAATGCAGGATAATTACAAATCAATCACAAACAGTAAGCAGAAATATTCCTTCCCAACTGCTGAAGACTTGACAGGTAGTAAGTCTGTCCATGAACAACCAGCAAGCGCAGTAAAGTTGCCACAGGTGAAGCAATGGGCAGTACATAATTGTAAGTCTTACAAACGGGATTATTCCGTGCTGTGGTTCCATACCAGGATTAGGTGGGACCAAGTACTTACTTCCAAGTTCATCTTGTGTATTTTACAATTTCTCTGTAATTACTATACATCTAATCTTTAGAATTGGAAATTTAAAAATCTTTAGGGAATTGTATAGTACACTCGAAACCTATTTTTAAAAATTAGCTTATATCGGGAACAATCTAATTTATTCGTGATAATAAAGCCTTTTTGTATGCTGGCAATTCACACACACACACACACACATTAAAACCACTTACATATAAACACACACACTTCCTTTAGTTGCCTGAGAGAACAATAAATGCAGTACCTTTTCAACATTCACTCTTGTTAAGCACAACAACCAAGCTTGTTGAAACAGTCTAAACAAGATGAGCAGCAGTTGGGTAAGGTCTGGAGGCCTACAGCTGCTCTCCCTCTATCATTTGGCCACCCTAAAGGTCATGTGCAGTGGTAGATGGTTACAATACCTGCCTTGACTATCTGCCTCAACACTTGGGGTTCTGCACTGGGGTCTTCTCTGGTTACTTGGAGGAATGTTGGCTCAGCATATAGTCAAGGCAAGAGTGACTTCTAGTCAATCTTCCATCTTATTCCTTGGAGTGGCCCTCAACATGGAGGATCGAGAGGTTTATATCCTTCCCCACCTCCTCATTGCAACGTGACATTCGCAGGCACTTTCTATATGGTTTTCCAGAGTGTCTTCAGCAGGACCGAGCCTCACTTTCCACAGCAGACATCGTCTCACCATTAATCACCCCCTTTTTGCTCTCTTCCTTTACTACCTCATTTCCTCACTCCTAGCTTGCCAAATAGATTACTTGTATCTAAATGCCCATGTCACAGTGGTCTTTCTGAAAATGGAGTATAATCTAAGATTTTATGCAAGATATTAGGTAGTTTCTGGAAGCTCAGGGTGGTGTGTGTGAGTGTGTGTGTAAAACTCTAGATTTTCTGAAACAATACTATATATGTAAATGAAGTGCTTTTTCTAGGCTTTAACTAGATCTGAATTTAGTAGGTATGAGAGGAATACTCCACAGAACAAGGTATATTGGATTCATTTCTACTAAAGACATAATGAAAGAGCTATGACAAGTAGGTACTGATTATACTGATTATACTTTTGGAGATCCGTGAAACCTTCAAAGAGAAGGTGGTATTTATTACACCAGTTGTTTAAAAGATAAACAACAATTATTGAAAGTGGAGACAAAAGAATGAAATGTTGTTTTAAGTCAATGAGAAATCAATGACAAGTTAATAGAGGTGTAAAGGAAAGTTGATTATTCAAAGAGAAGAACACTGTTCCTGAGCTCAAGAATGTCTGAAGCAAGAGGGCAGAAAGCAAAGTGGATCTGTCAGTGGCAGTCTGGGCATTTGCGGAAGCCCTGAACAGAGTGGGGGAAGAATGCTTCAGAAGCATTCATACTGAACTATTTTTTTTTCTCATGTGACTTCTAAAAAAAAAATAGAATCTCACCCACGCATCATCAGTCACTTCCTTTGCCATCATTATTTTGAAAGTATGACTCACTGATAGAACATTTTCCCTGAAACTGAAGACATTTTAGAATTTGTGGATATTTTCTTATGCTCTCTGAATAGGAGAAGATTGCCTGGGATTTCAACATTTGTTTCTGTCTTATTATAATTCATTTATTTAGAACTTCCACTTTAAGGCACAGTGCAAGCTCCCTGTGTCCTGAAGGAGACTGTGAATGCTTCTCTCCCATCTAAGGAACCTAGGAACAAGAGTAAAAGCATAAAGTCCAAAACAAGGCTGAAGCAGAGTCAGGGACTGGGCAAGCACTGCTCTGGGGACCAGGAATTCAGGCCTCTCACTTGGGAGCTCTTGCACATGGTTTGTTGGTCCTTGATGAATGGCTGAATTTTCATCATCTGTTTTTCAGTGAGGTGTTGGGTTGGACCACCTCCCAGATCTCTACTGGTCACAACTACTTGTGGTAAGTCAAGATCAGGGGTGGAACTGCATCTTTCTTGTGCCTAACGCTAAAAATCAATAAAAAGATTATTGAAAATTGATGATATTCTTTCTTGAAAACAGATGAAGCAAATACTACTGCCAGTAGCTCCTTTAAAATACCCATTTTTGATTTCATATAAGTTCCATCAATTAGAAATACATAATTATGCTCATATAAAATAATGTTCTAAAACACATTTGCTGGCAATGGGCCTTGGGATATGTTTCTCTGGCTGCTGGAAAGATGATAACATTTCATTAAGATGTGATTCATAACCATAGGACTAGATATTCTGAGTGTACTCTCCTCCACTGAAATGCAAACATTACAGATGACAGATAATAGCCCATTTTGAGGGTTAATATTCCTTAGGGCATTGTTACAACATAAAACAAGAGGATTAAAGAGTTGCCTGCTCTTTCAGCCATGTGCCATACACACAAATAAACAACAGCTAAAGAAGCAACTATCATGGCTTCATTTCTACATTATTTAATCTCATGTGTTCCAAATTAGTGTTGTGGCTTCTCTTCTGTATTAGAAAATATGTTAGATTGTTCAATGAGTGATTTATCTTTCCTCCACACAGTCATGATAGGGTTTTGTTTATTTGTTTTGCTTAGGTGTAGGAGAAGACTAGTAGAATACAGTGATGTGGGGAGGAAAGAGGGATAATGACAGAAGGGTGTTATCTTACAGAGAAATAACTATGGAAGTAACTTGAGCATAGTGAGGTCAGAGGCAGCAGGAGCTGAAAAGTCTGTCCAAGGGTAGCACCCTCACCATAGCTCTCTTTTATTTAGAAACTTGATGTGGAATATCGTCTAGGGAGTTGAAAGAAAAAGTTCTGTGCTTAGTAAATATTTAAAAAAAAATCTGATCAGATTTTAGAACTCTTCAGCCTGCTTGCTTACTTTCTTGACAACAAACAGTTTTGGGAAATACAACACAAACTACACTTTGAAACTTAACATACAATGACAAAGGAACTTACAGTTATAAACATTTCCAAGTTTAGGACACTGTACTAGAAACACCGACATAGAAGTCTGAGAACCGGTTCTGCTGAGAAGTGGTAAGGATCCTTCCAAACAGGAGCAATGGGGATAATGGGCAGTCATAGGGTCCTGCTGTAAGTCAGCTGCCCTAATATGCACTTTATTTAAGTAATTTACATAATCGTCACAAGCTTAAGTAGTAGCTTCATTTTATAGTGAATAAAAGTGAAGTTCATTAAAGTTAACGTGGCCACACTTTAATAGTTATTAATATCCACAAGTGCATTCTATTTCAAAAGCTTTGTTTTCTAAAATGATGCTGTTTTCTTCATCAGACTATAAATGTCTGGTGTAACCTAAGACACATGCTGCACATTTATTTTTCAAAGAGTCAAATCACCATCATTTGATTTTAAAATAAGTATAGCAAAGGTCCCACAATGAAAGCCCATCATTGTTAAACTAACTTGGACTTGAGAATCACAGGGCATACCTGGCAGTTTAGTTTGATTGGGGGTTTGATGTTCTTGGGGGAGATGAAGACTGAGCTGTTACAGGATGATAGTTGGCCACTAGGAATCTCCAGGAGCCTGTTGTTTTATGGCAGAGCTGAAATAGGGTGAGGTCAAGGAACCAAATGTCATAGGTAAGAAATTTAGGGGTGTGCCTAACTCAGCAATAAAATACTGTTTTAGTGTCACTTTAAAAACTCAACAAATTACAGACCAACCACCTATTTTTATAAATGACAAAGGGACTGAGTTCCAAAGTTCTTTATCCTATGAGATATCTTTGTTTCTCTGGTCTAAGGAAAGAGGATGCACTCTGAATAAAATCAGAATGAACGTTACTCCTCCTGTCCAGGTGCCATGTTTGAGGAGGATAATATTGTCTATAGTTTCATTCTTGCAAATCTCCAATTTGACTATAGAAACATCACTTATTATGACCAAATATCCTGGTTTGCTCCCACTGTCTGGGTTTTAGTATTGAAAGAATTGCATCATTGAGGACTGCTTTCTCCAGTAAGCTGTCAATCATTCTAACAGAGGGGTATTTTGGGGGGGGGGGGCGTGGAGAGAGGGAGACAAAGGAAGGGGAGAGAACCCGACCAAGGTGCAGAAAATTTTATACTAAATTTGGTTATTACAGTTAGGTTCTTGCTAAACTGTGTGAGGCCATGGGTCATGCAATTTTTGTCTCCTCAGATTACCCCAGTCTGGGAATGTGGTATGGAGGGGGGGTGGGTATCAGTCTCATTGATTTTGCCTGTGTTTTTCTTATATTTTGTGGGGCTGAAGAATCTAACCCAGGGTCTGACACTTGCTAGACATGTGCTCTGCCATTCCACTTCTCGGTGATTTTTCACTCCCAGCTGCTTTGGGCCCTTCAGCTCAATTCCTAATCTGTTTTACTTATCACTGAAGTCCATAGGAGGCAACGAAGCTGCAATACTGAGCAAGGCCTTGTCGCCTCCGGGATTGCACACGGACATTAGTGACTACTAGTGTGACTGAAGGTTTGGAATTTTCAAAGCAGACAGACCAGCTGTTGCCAATGCTTCCTGCAGGGGTGGCTTTATTCAGTTATGCTCACTGAACTAAGAATTGCTTTCCCAGCCTGTTTTCAATGAGTTCCCTGTAGCTATTATTCCCTTTTATTTAGACACAAATGAAATCTAATGAACCCCTACTGCCAAACTGAGGCAGAATTACTGTTAAGCTAGAGAAACTGAATGATGTTCTAGGATTCTCAAACAGATTTGTACTAAATTTTAATAAGTTTTCTTAATGACTACAATGTTGCAGGCTGAATTATGTGCCATGCTCATTCATATATAGAACTCTAATTTCCAGTGCATTTAGAGATAGTAGTAGGCCCCTAATCTCAAAGTACTGGTGACCTCTCAGGAAGAGGAGGCGATCACTCTCACATCCTCTCCTGTCTTCTTCCCTCTTCTCTCCTCTCTCTGTCATGCAAGGACTTAGTGAAATGCCTGATTGTCGGTAATGCAGGAAGAAACTCATCATGCTGACATTTCAATTTTGAGCTTCCAGCCTCCAGAACTGTAAGAAAGGTATTTTCTATTGTTGAAGTCACCCAGTCTGCATCATTTACTGCAGTAGTCAAAGTAGGGTAACATGGCTCATTTTGGCCACAAACTGGTATCTGAATATCAGGCATGCAAATTGCAATCAACATCTCTGTCTTCCCCAGTCCCACATTACAATAGTAGTTTATGATTCAGAGCAGCAACACCACTCAAAGATACTTTCTGGATGGAGACTGATAATTTGACTTCCAGGAAGACAGTGTAAATGTCAGAAGTGCTAAGAGAACCGAATAAAATGCAGAATGATTAAAAAAAAAGTTTCTTCTTGAGCAACTCACATTGCTGTATTTTGGAGCACAACAGTGGGGACAGGTTTTGAATGTCAGTGAGAGGGGTGCGGGTGAGTGTGGAGCATGATGACAACAGGATGGTAGGTCAAAGGGAGAGCTCCAGATTTAAAACCTGGACCCAGGGGTTGCACAGTGGAAGCGGACACGTGGCTCCCTCGTTCCTTGATCCAGTTCCTTAGTGTTAAAGTGGGAAGAACTCTAGTACCTTTATCACCAAACTTCTGTATAGAACCAATTTTGTAAAATATATGCAACATTCAGAACAATTGCCTGGCACACGGTAAATGCACAACAAATTTCACCTACTTTATTTATAATAAGATGTTACCACTGTTCCCCAAATGAACGGAATTCTTATTTCTACAATTGCATAACCCTTGACTATATTCTGTGTATTACATCCACACTCAATACCTTCCTATGTATCTTGTCTTCAAAATATTCAAGTAATTCATGTTCTTCCACCTTTAAAACAGAGGGCAAATTTTCTGAATACTCAGAGTAAAGAATTTTTCCCTAGCCTCCTGCAGGGAGAAGAATGGCTAAACATCTTTATGTGAACTTAAACTTCTACCATTTATACCAAGGGCCTTCTAATCCAGCTGGCTTTGCTTCCTGTCTCCATTTCTTCTCTATTCTTCAGGAAGAGTGGACTTTCCAAAAGGGATATCCAACAGTATGTGGGGTACCCCCCCCACTTATTTACCCCAGGAACCTTTGAGGAATGAGGGGTAAGAGACTTAGAGAGCAGAGAGAAAAAAGGTTACACTTGAGTGGGCCTGGATCATTATCCACCGGCCCAGAACTTTATTCCAAAGGTCTATTTATAACAATGCCAAGGGGTGGAGCAAAGACCTCCCCCTGGCTAGTTAGACCCTTACAAACACCTGGTACCCAGGCCCGTGGTCCAATCAACCTCTTGTGCAGTCCTGCTAGGTAAAGCCACTAGGAAACCTAGTGGGCTCCAACAACAGTATTACTTTCTTCTCTCTCTGCCATTAAAATATTCTGAACTGTTGGTTTCAATGTGCATACACCTCATATGCCAAGCTGCTTCTTTCTCCGGGGTGTCTCTCCATGGCAAATATCCCTTCCCCCTCTCCTTTGTCCCTTTCGTCCCCTGTCACTTGTCTCCCATCCCATGGGGGTGGGGACTGGTGGGAACTCCTGGGTCAGCTAGTCCAGAGTATACCACAGCAAATGATGGGAAACGCTTTCTCAGACAATGTCAAAGGTGAGGACCTATACTCAAGTGTGGGAACCCGTTTTCAGGTTCCTCGTGGCTTTACCCAGCAGGTCTGCATAGAGAGGATGATTAGGACCATGGGCTTGAGTGCAGGTGTCTGGGATGGTCTGCACTTAGCTGTGCTGCTGGGGGGGGGGGGGGCGCGTTCTTTTGCTCCACTCCTTGGCATCTCTATAAATACCCTGAGGCAGAGACAGTCAGGGCCTGTTGGAAAAGGTTCCAGCCCTCTCGAGGCTATTCTTTATTTTCTCTCTGTTTATCTCCACAATATAAATCCTTCTATCTAATATTTCCTGCTGCTCACACTCAAGAAAACTCTGGGGAGCTGTGGGG